TCGTACTGGACACAACAAGTGAGACGTTTGGTTGGTATTGGTATCGGCTCAGTTTTGGAAAAACTTCGTCGATGTAGAGAATTGTTGGATAGCAGGTTCCTAATATGTTTCCTAATTTGTTTTGGTAACAGGTTATTGGGATTCCTAATCTGTTTTGGTAACATGATTCCAAATCTGTTTTGGTAACAGGTTATTAGGATTCCCAATCTATTTTGTTTTTTGTTTTAGAATTCCTAGTATGTTTATGATTTTAGGATTTTTATATATATGGATCAATTGGAAGAGAGAATTGAGAATAAAATTAGGGTTATTTGGAGCATAGAAAAGAGGTATTTTCTGAGCTATTGGTTAGGGTTTTGTTTGGAGAGAATTAGAGATTTATTGGTGAGATTAATTGGCGAGTTTGAGTGATTTGTAATCTCAGTTTGTACTCTTCTTCTCTATTAGTGAAAAACTCTATCCCCTTCTTACCCCGTGGACGTAGGCAACTTGCCGAACCACGTTAAAATTGGTTGTTTGTGTTTGTGGCATTAATTTGATTCGTTTGGCCTTCTCTCGACGTTCGTTTGATTTGATTTCTCGTAGCACGTTGGTTTGATTGTTTGGCTTCCGCAGCGCTCAACATTTTCGGTTGAGTTTTTTGAGGTTTTTATAGGAAGATAAGGGGTGTAACTAACCCCTTAACCCGCTCCTAAGTGGGCGAGATTCCCTCAGATCGTGGGAAAAACGGTTCGGAAACCGTTCAGCTCGTGTTTTAACGAGTCAATCGCCGAAGCGGGCGTTCTGGGTTTTAACTCTGCGTCTTAGGCTTGAGACGCAAAGTTAGGCGTCTGCTGAAAATCGAAAACGTAGGGACCGCCTGTGTTTTGAAAATTGAACGCAGAGATAAACTCTGCGTTTAGAAGTGGTTGTTGACTTGTAACCTCTTCTATTGAAGAGTTTGCAAAGACCGTTGTTCTGTAATCTTCGCTTTAGCTATTTGGGATGTGAGAGTCGTCAGATTGTAACTCTCACGGTTGATTTGTGAGAGTCGTCAGATTGTAACTCTCACGGTTGATTGTGAAGGCTATTGAATCAGAGCTTTCATCAGTTATCGTGAAGGTCGTTAAATTGTAGCCTTTCTTGATCTACGTGAAAATCCTTCAATTGCAGCTTTCGTTTTATTGACATGAAAGTCGTCTGATTGTAACTTTCATTATCGAAATGTTGATTAAAGTTAGATAGGTATCAACTGTCTGTTGTGAATTTTAGACAGCCTATAGTTCACATCCATTCTGATGCCTGAACCAAACACATTAATTCCACTTCATTTGAAAATTGTTTAGATTTTTCTAGTTTTGGTGCAAGTTTGTTTAGATTTTTGGAAAATCTTTTTTTAGAATAAGACTTGACATTTTTGTCTAGAGAACACTAGGATGCAAATGGCGTGAGCCGTCTCTTTGAACTTCTTCCCTCATATTTTACTGTTTTACATTCAATTGACATGAGAGCATCTCCAATCACTCGGCAAAAATCTCCATCCCTCCAAATTTGAAGAGTGAATCCCCTCCAATCACTCTCCAAATTTGGAGATCTTCAAGATCACCCGATAACCTACTGCCTCCAAAGTTCCAAGTAAAATGATATTCTTTGTTAACTACGGAACGAATCTCACTTTCTTCAACTCCCTAGTCACAACAGCATTAAGACTATCCATTGATTTACTTAGCCCATACTTATGTTCTAACTTCTTCTTAGACAACATCGAATTGAACCACCATTTTTTCATAGAGTCCTCATGCTCACTATTTGATGAAAATATAATAGATGAATAGTCATTCGATGAATAATCATTTTACTATTTTATTTCCTATCAGAATTAAGCATACGATCCAACCATTGTCACACATTCTGATTCGAATTGTTCTGATACCTCCAATGGGGCATACGTGATCATTTCCCAATAACACGACATCCCCTCTTTTCAACTCCTCAAAGCTGTAGAACCAATTCCTCTTAGGACAAATGTGATATGTAGCACCCGAATCTAACATCCACTCCATGGAGTCTGCATAACAAACTGACGGTAATGCTGGGCATGAGTAGCCTGAAGAATCAGAATCAGAATTGTCACCACTAACTTTAGCAATATTCACCTCTGAAGTATGTCCGACTTTCCCCTTATTCTTCTCAGCTCTATCTCTCAACTTTGGGCATTCATTCTTCCAATGTCCATCTTCTTTACAAAAACACATTGATTCCTACCAACACTTTTATGGTCACCTCTATGCTTCGACTTTGAGCGATTAAACTGACAGCGGTTTGGACTACGATATCTCACTGCCAATGCATCTCCCGATGCTTTCTCGGAGGGTTCATTATCTCTCTTCCTCAACTCATAATTCACCAATGTTGAGGTCACCTCCTTATAGCTGACAGTGGTTCTACCATTGATCATCATAAGGACAAATGTACCAAAATCATCCTCTGACAATGAACATAACAATAACATCGTCTTATCTTCATCCTCTACCATGATATCCACGTTACCATGATATCCACATTGGCCATATCCGATAGCAATTTTGTGATATTATTGACATGTTCTCTGATGGAAACCCCCTTCTTCATTTTAAATTGGTGAAACCTTTTCTTCAAATGAAGCCGATTCTCATTGCTCTTCGTCAAATACTTCTCATTGTGTGTTTCCCACAATCGCTTCACCGATGTTTCATTCATCACATCATAAATCAAGTCCGGCGTCAAGCATGATAGAATAACCCCACATGCTCTACTATTCATTTTCTTTCAGACCTTATCCTCTATATCCTCGGGTTTCTCTTGTAATTCAAGAGTTTCCTCCAAATTTTGGGCATCTAATGCATCCATCACTTTACACCTCCACAAACCAAAATTTATCTTGCCATTAAATTTTTGAACATCAATTTTTGTATTATTAATGCTCAACCCTTGTATCGCCTTCGGCAGAAACGATCCTGATGTACTTGCTTCGGTTATTTTGACAATCCAATCTCTTCAAATGAGAATTCAAACCCTAGCTTTCTTCTCCAAATCGAACCCCAAGCCAGACCCGGAGCTCTGATACCACTTGTTGTGCGCAGCGGAACCGGAGGAACACACAACCGCAAACGAGATTAGAGAACAAACAACAACCAAAATAAGTACCACAAATGCAAGACAATAAATTTACGCGGTTCGGCAAACTTGCCTACATCCGCTGGAGCAACATAAATAATTTCTTATTTAACAACAAGAAATTACAAATTTGTAAAGAGAGAAGATCTCAAACTTGAGATCTCTCAAATGGATGCTAATCTACACTGTAGCTACATTGTAGATCTCTCTCTCAACTCCTCCTTAATTACTCAACCCCCCTCTCTTTAATTCCCCAACTCCTCTCTTAAATTCGTGAGAGCTGGGACAAATGGGGGCTCAAATCGCAGAGGCAAAAAAAGATGCCGTCGCCAGAAATCCTCTGAGAGATCGCTCAAGCTCTCTACACTCTCCGCTCGTGAATAGGGTTTCCCTTTTATAAGGAAACCCTAAGTCAGATCTGGCACCAGGCAATCTCCAGCTGGCCTCCACCATGCCACACGAGGTCTCCATCAGTGAGCTCCGAAGGCAAGCTCGATCTCCTTCATCAGGCGAGGTCCACGCTCCCAACAGGCGACCTCGTGGCGACAAGCGAGCTCCCTCGCCTCACCTCCTCGCC